ACTGCACTCTTCCAACACACCTGCTCTGTATTGCATTTAATACAGAAGATGGTGCAACATTTTTGGAGGAAATTAAATTCCTGTTTTAAGATAAAACTGGATTTTGCTTTTTATGTCTTTATGGAAAGGACATACAGATTGAAGAGCCCAAAGCACCAGAAATCTGCCAAAATTTATCACCATTGTGCTTGAGAAAGACTGAATGTGAAAGGTAACAACAGACTTCATAGGGAAACAAACAGTCCCATTTTTCTGAGACTTATACCTAGAAAAAGAAAGTGAAGGAAAAACTTCTAGAGGAGGCAAAAATGAAAATACTTTTTTTTTTCCAGACAAACTAGATCTGGTACTTAAGGAAGAAAAAGCCCCACTTTTAGAAACAGAACAGTTTCACTGATTTATTGAATAATTAAGTAAGTGATGCTAAGAAAGGCAGAGGTCCTTTAGATACATGGTGAATAGCACCCTTCTCATTTTTGGAGATCATATATGGTTTCTGTGACCAGATACTTCTTCAAACTTAAGGTTTACAGTCATCCCAGCTGCAACTAAAAATTACATTACAAGTAGTTAGATTTCAAGAAAAATTCTAGGTTCCTGCAGACATTGTCTCTGGACTTTGGACTAGATTCAAAATGGAGAGACCCGCCACAGTGCTAAACATGGCAAAGGCTGACTGAGGGCAGGTTTATCTGGCAGCTGGCAATGCAGCAAAGATGTAAGACCTAAGACAGCCAGATCAGATAGCAGAGCAAAAAAACCTCCAGCATGACAGCCCTAATCTGAAAGAAGAAAAGGAATCAGCATGCACAGACTTTTCTCTGCCAGGGCAGAAATGCTACTGGTACACTTTGCTGTTGGTCCTATAACTGTGATCTACTGGGTGACTCACAGCAGTTTGACTTCTTTTATTTCATGAAGTCAGGCCAAGATGGATACACATAGGGCCATATTTCCACACAGAATTGATCCATGGGTGGGATGCACCTCCCAGTTCTCGAGAGACCAATGCTGTGTGTCTGAGCTGCACAGCACTGCTGATCCATCTGTAACCAGCTCCTGGAATGGAATCTGGAACATACACACAGGTTCTGCACACATATGCATGGGTGGGTATATTTAGATGCCAACTGACTTGGGTGCCCAGAAATCAGTGCATGAGAGGGCCACCAAGGGGTAGCCAGTAGAAAAATACCTAAGACCATGGTGATGAAGTGCTAAGCTTATGCAATCAGGGGACTTTAGTTCTTGCTTTGGGTGCCTCAGACCAGAATCCTCTGCAAAATAAATCTAAATTTCTTTAAAAGATAGCAGTACTCACTCTTGCTGCTACTTGCCCTTCTGTACAATAATTAGAGCTCTGACCAAGCCCCATGGGAAACCTGTCACAACCCCTTCCTTTGCCAGACAAGACTAAAACCCCCAAATATCAACCAAGTGCCCAAATCATCAAGTCTAAGAAAGAAGGACTATTTTCCTTCACACTAAAGCAGTACTATTTTTCAGAGAAACAATAAAAAATGTTTTTGAACTGAGGAAGAAGAATCCTGGGTTCTGCTCCCTGCCAAAAGCGAAGCTTCTGTACTTCTTCCCATTGCCTTGAGTGGGTCAGAGCTCAGCTATATCGCCTGGAGATCTAAACCATTCTGGCTTGTGCTAAGACTGAAAAACATTTCCGCTGATCTCAAAGCATGCTGCGGTTATAGGTACTGTGGTGGCAAGCCTTTACTATCAGGAATACCTGTAGGCTGTCAGCCCTACAGTTAGATTTCACCAAACAATAGGAATGCAGCAATGATGCAACTGAGGCTTAACAAAGTATGAAATGACTTTATGTAATCGTTGGAACTAAAGAAGGAAAGAAGAGATAATTTAGTGTAATGCATGCTGTTTACATTAGTAGAAGCTAACGCTGACCATTCTGAGACGGAAATAAAATATGTTTCTATTAAAATACTCTTATTTTCATGGCCTGACACTTTTTGCCTTGGATGCATAGCATTTTTTACTATAATGTGAATTTCATATGCTGAATCTGAGTGTTCAGGCAAAGGTTTTCTGGCACTGATTTCTCTGACTAAGCTCAACTTTTACATCAAGAATTTACAGCAGGCAATTCAGTATCTCTCACTATAATGTTTTTTTTTCCATTGAACAAGGCAGACGGATGTCTAAATTTAAGGGACAGAAAAGATTGCTTGGTTATCTAATCTTATTCCTGCAAGAAAAGGCCAAAGAATTTTACTCCTTTACCAAGCCAGTAACTTCTGGATGAAAGAGGTCAAAATGTTGTTCTGCTCAGATCATTCATCTCATGTCTATTCGGTTTCTCTGTTTTGGCCAATGGCCTTGATGGAAAAGCAGGTGTCAAATAGATCATCCTGAATACCTTGAAGAAATGTACATGCTGCTTTTCACTTTGGAATTCTCTTTCCCCAAAATGATCCTTGCTCTTTCTGAAGAGACATACAGACATACAGACTGGCAACACAACTATGAAGGGTGATGATGATCACAGGACTATCCCATTGGCTTTTGGACTTTTTGACACAGAGTAGAAGTAAAGACTGTAGCATGCCTGACTAATCCGTGATTAAAATTTGTCATTTTCAAGTGCTGCAGAAAAAAAGATTGTTAATGCATGCAGTTAAATATGCAGCATGTTCAACAGTCACAGTGCTATCCTTGCATTTATTAGTTTGCAATCTGGACAGAGCTATACAGGCAGGACCCCAAGTAAGAAATAAGATTTTTACATCAGAAGGCAAGACAGAGAGATGTTTGGTTTTGTGGTTATGATTTGGGAGGTGTGAGAAGAAGGTTAGATTCAGGGGTCTTGGTTTGTGGTTCTGACCATTTAGAGATTTGTTTCAGTCAAACATCTAAACTTTGGTCGCTTCTGACTGGAAAGATTTTAGATACAAATCAACAACATCTCCTCAAAGCAGATACTGAGGCTTTTCAGTCACTGTCATGTGAAAAACTGCCTGATTTTGGAGGTACAATCCAAGTATTTATTTCCCATAAACCTGCAAAATATCTTGGCAGAAATACTGTCCCGGTATTGGACTAACAGATTCTTCCAACTCTCTTGCCTGTCTCAAAGGCCTTCTATCACAGAGAATGAGTGATACAGACTTCATCCTGAACAACAAGAAGCAGCAGCAGTGAATTTTATCAAATGAATGTGCATGAACAGTCTTTGCTCTCATTTTCCTATATCAAAACTTAAAACTTCTTGGGACACATGGCACTGACAAACTCCAAAGCTCACACTACAAGACACTCAAATGACATTTACTGTTTCTGCATCTACTGTGGAAACTAAACTTCCAAACTTAGTTATCAATTGTTATTGAAGATGTTTGTGTAGTGCCCACTTCCATGGCTTTGAAGAGAACAAGGCCTGTACTAGAAGCCTGCAACTAGAAACTGCCACCTAAGTTTCACAGAGAATTTTGATAAAGCCAGAGTCTGGCATCACTCTAAATCCCAACCCCACTGTAGTCAATGAAAATTCCCATTAACTTCATGAGCATATGGATTTCTTACACTGTTGTACTGGGTTTGTATGGCAAGGTTTTGGCAGTGGGAGGGCTGCAGGGGTGGCTTCTGTGAGAAGCTGCCAAAAGCTTCCCCATGTCTGATAGAGCCAGTGCCAGCCAGCTCCAGGACAAACCTTCCACTGGCCAAGGCAGAGCCCATCAGTGGTAGTACCTCTGGTATGACAGAGTTAAGAAGAGGAAAAAGTTATTGTGCAGGAGCAAACTGCAGCCAGAGAAGACAGGAGTGAGAATATGTGAAAAAAGCAGCTCTGCAGGCCCCAAGGTCAGTGCAGGAGAGGGGGGAGGTGCACCATGCACGGGACCAGATTCCCCTGCAGTCTGTGGTGCAGCCCATGGTGAGACAGCTGCGCCCCTGCAGCCCATGGAGATTAATGGGCAGAGATCCACCTGCAACCTGTGGAGGATCCCACACTGCAACAAATGGATGCTGTGGATGCCATGACCCTGTGGGAAGCCCACATTGGAGCAGATTTGCTGGCAGGACTTGTGACCCCACAGAGGACCCATGCTGGAGGAGCCTGTTCCTGCAGGACTGCACCCAATGGGAAGGACTCATGCTGAAAGCACTTTCTGAAGAACAGCAGTCCATGGGAAGGACTTATGCTTGAGAATTTTGTGGAGAACCTTCTCCTGTAGGAGAGATCCCTTGCTGGAGCAGGGGAAGATTGCGAGGAAGAAGAAGCAACAGAGACAATGTGTGATGAACTGACCACAATGCCCAATCCCTGTCCCCCTGTACCACTGGGGGAGGGGGAAAGGTAAAGAATTGAAGTCTAAAGTTGAGCCCGGGAAAAAGAGAAGTATGGTGGGAAAATGTTTTTAAGATTTTGATTTCTCATTATCCAACTCTGTTTTGCTGGCAACAGTAACTGGTGAGTGATAGCTCACTGTGCTTATCTTGACCCATGAGTCTTACATTTTATTTTCTCTCCCCTGTCCAGCTGAGGAGAGGAGTAATAGAGCAGCTTTAGTAGGCATGTGGCATCCAGCCAGGGTTAATCCACCATAACCGTACAGACAGATGTAAACGGTAGCTTTTGTTGAACCAAAGCAATGCAGGGAGTTGCAGTAAAAGGAAAGATGAAAGAAAGCTACAGGATAAGAGAAAAACTCTTCCATGAACAGATTTGTCTTTGACTGACGGAATCAGAACATTTGTTGTTCACTTGCTACTCCCACAGCAAAGGGTTGGCTTTTAGTTCTTACTGTCTAACACCTAAAATATGAGTTGCAGAAATAATAGTTCATTTCCAGAGTTTAGGGCCTGTTTTTTCAATCTACCTACAAGAAAGGGGGAAGAGAAAAAATCAGAACTGCTTCCAAGAAGAAAAAAAAACAAACTACTGTATAGCTTTGACAGGTTGATAGTTTGAAATGAAGAAGTCCAGGAGCCTTCCAGAAGTTAGAGATCCAAAGCTGAGATGCAAAACTTACCTAGCTCTTTAAGTACTCCTGGAGGAGTCAGTGTCCAGAAAAACAACAAAGAGCTTGTGCTAATCTACAAATGTATAAATGTAAAATACCTTCAATTACTGCAAATCATGTTGTGACAGACAACATAACAGCACGGAAGCTGCTTGACCAACATATGTTGATTTGTATAGAAAGATTGTGGTTTCTGGCATGCTTCCAAGTGAGTTAAAAAAAGGCTGTCAACCTGTCTGTTTCAGCCAGAGGCACAGCAATGGCAGCTTGTGAAACATCACACCTGAAAAGCATTTATGTGACACATCTTTCTTCTCCCCCGACACATGGTGCAAAATCTGTAGAACCACTGGATTTATTCTACTGCTTGTTTTGCATTAAATAAACCAACTTAATAATGAATTCCTGCCATCCTCGCTGATGAGGTATAAAAAAGAAACTGGAAAGTACCAAATGTGTAGCGCAGAACAAAAAAACCCAGCCAGCTCTTTTTTGCATTAACACTCAATCCCCCATATACAATACTGACCCAGTCTTGTAATCCTTCCGAAGCCAAAACAGCCAGTTAGCATCCAAGGAGCATTTTAGGATGAAGAAAAGGGTGCAGCATGGCCAACAAATTGGTCCTGATCCTGCAGAGAGTTACACACAGATTTAAGCACTCTGTTCACAGGACTACCCCCACTTGTAACGCCAACATCTGCAGTGTAAACTGAGTGCTTGCTTAATTAACTACAGGAGGAAGGCAAAATCTCTGTCCATTCACTGTGTTGTCACATGGTGAAGAATTCTGGCACAGGGAATCGGGCAGGAATGTATGGCCCATGCTAGGGAAAGAGCAAGGTCCCTTCCTTCTCAATGACAGCTCAGTCACACATCAGGTTAAACTGGCTGTCAAATCCTGAACTGCTATAAAGTAATTCTTCTTCCATGAAAGGAACTAATCATGCCTGCTCGCTGACAAAACAACACTGAGAGCAAACATGAAGCAGAAACAATAGATGGTGACAATTTCACTAAAAAATAAAACACCAGGAGTAAAAATGTCATGTCCTGAGAAGGCTAATGAGATAAAATATAATGAAAATGAGCTCATTTTTAAAATGGGTATTTTCAAGGGTGTAAAGTGGTATAAAATTACTTCTCTGCTTCTGTTCAGAGGCAAGAAACAGGCTCCCAACTGCAATGCTGTATAATGTCAGTAGGGATAAACAGAAAAATCCCTAAAAAATCCACGAAGGATCCCACCAAGAAAAAGAAAAGTATATAAAAAAAGTCTAATTCTACCTTAAAAGAAATTGCAGGATTTCCTTTCATGTTTTATTATACCCTTCTTTAGCAGTCAGCTGCCCCTAATATCCTCTTGCAATAGGATACTACAGGATGCTGAAACCCCTGGTAAGTAGGATCTGGATGCAGTCCTCTCACCACATTGTCATCTCTATGGTAACCTAGGCCAGCCCTAAATACTATAATCCTGCTTTACCATAGTAAAGCCAGTTAATGACTTTCATTGAATGTTCCTACCATATAATGGTGCTCTAATATTTATTGACATTTCAAGTCTGTCCACCTCTTTGGACTATTTGTTATACTGAAAAGTGATGCAAACACAGCATTTGTACAAGAAAGGCAGCTACTACAGATTTCAGCCTTTTGATATTATCAAGGTGCAGTCCTGCAAAGTCCAGCTTCTAAGTGGCACCACTGACTTCAGTGGCACCACTGCCAGGAGTAAGTCCTGCAGAGCACAGAGGAGCTAGGGCAGCCACGGGACCAGTCCTTGGCTCTTGGCAGGTTCTCATCAGACACTGCCATCAGCAGTGGATGACCTGAGCATCTCAATGGCATGCACTGGATGTCCTAATTAAAGAGTGAATAAATGCTGTGTGATGGGCTCTCGTTAGAGAAGAACACAGAACAAGTAGGATGGGGTAAGCAGTTAAACAAGGGAGGAAATATTGCTTTGTCAATACTAGTGACAATTTAATTATTATTTTCTGCAAACATTCCACTTATTTCCTTTTTGGGAGACAGATGGTTAAGTCCCTGAAAAACAGAGAAGCCCTTTTGATTCTCAGATCATACAGAAGGATTGTTCTATTTTATTGCTATTCTAATTTTTATTGCCCTACTTTTTTTTCCTAGCTTTTTGCTCCAGTTTTCTATTGTTTAGTTTAATTGCTACGGAAAAGCTTTACAGAATATTATTATTTCTAAAGGTTTTTATTTTATTCTTGATGGGTGAGAAAAGTTGGCTGTCGGATTTAATACTATCATTTTCTGTGCTACGTGTAAGTTTGGGTTCAGGAGTCTGCTTTTTGTTGCTTTAAAGCATCAGACATAAAAACCTACCTACTGAAATTCAGTACAAGTTTTTTTAGAAGCATCTCCCACCCTGCAAAATCCTACTCGTGTATGTTCACCCAGGGCTTGCATGTGATTTTAGCAGGATGCGGTAGCACGCCATGAAGAATTTATAGCGGGAAGCAATCTCCTGCTGTTACACATCCCTAAACGTTAGTGTAAGGAGTAACTTCGATTTTGAATAGGTCAGCAGGATTAAAAAGAAAATAAAATACGCAGGTTTCAGAGTTGGCTCCTCTGCGACATACGGAGAAGGGATATGGGGATATGCCCGGCCTCCCTGCTGCCCAGGGGAGGTGGATTAAGGCGGCCAGAGGAAAGAGAAAAGGGAACGATTAAACCTGACAGCGCTCCAGCAACCCCTCTCACACACGCGGCTACCGCGGCTCCACGTCGCGGTCCTTACCGCGGATATCGGCGGATAAAGACCGGCACAGCCCTCCCCGGCCCTCCACGGCCCCGGCCCCGCTGCTCCCCGCTCACCTTTCGGCGGCCGCCGAGCCCAGCGCCGCTCCGGGGCAGCTCCCGCAGCGCAGCAGCGGCCCCGGCGCCTCGCCCAGGCAGCGGCAGCGGGCGGGGGAGGCCGGGAAGGCGGGCGGGAGCGGCGCTGCGATGCCAGGCGAGGCAAATGGCTGAAGCACGGGGGCCGGGCTGGCGGAGGGGCCGGGCGGGCGCGGGGCCGCGCTCAGCCCCTTTGTTCGCCTGGCAGGCGGAGGGAGGAGCGGGCACGGACCTGTTGCTGCTGGCGGCAGCTCCCGGCGAGGGGCAGCGGCCGAGCCGGGAACGCCGCGGGATGTGCACGCTGCGCCTCGGGGCTGAGGCGAGGCGGCCCCACCTGCCCGCGCTGAGGAGAAACTCCCCCCGTGTGGCGCCGGGCGGGGAGCGCCGGGCCCTCCCTCAGCCCCGGGCGGGGCGGGGAAGCCGTGCCGGGGGTGAGCGGGGCGGCGGCGGCGCTCCCCTGCGTGAGGCAGGGCCGGGGGCTTTGCCGCAGGAGCCGCAGCGCAGCCCCGGCGGGAGCCCCGAGGGCCGCGGCCCCGGCACCGCTGCGGGGAGGCTGCCCGGACCCAGCTCTGCTTATCCAGCTGTCTGCCGGCGGAGGAACAACGCCGTGGAGGCCAGGTGCAATTGGCACCAGGGTCCCATTTTTTCTCCTGCGCTTGAAAGCTCGTCAGGATTCCCAGAATTAGACCCTCTTTTCAGTTTCTTGAAAAACTCTTCACATTATGTTATTTGTACTCTGGGTTTGTTCCCGACATAGGCAGTGGTACCTGACCCAGCTCACGTCCCACCGCAGGCTGCAGTTCAATTTCTGCCAAGACAGCAGACTTGCCGTCCTATCCCGGTCTTTCTGACCCGTTCCTGGTGCTGGGATATATCGTATTGTCTTTGTAACGTATAATTTTTCTATATGTTTTTATGATACTGCTGCCTCAAAACACTGTTCGTCTGCAGGTTCTCTCTTTTTCCCTCTCCACTGAATCCAAGGTCCTGTCAGACTGGTTCCCCAGCAGTGCCCAGTGAGTGGCTCTTGGCCTTGGGAGACACTCCTGAGCAGACTTGAAAAGCTACTACCGTCTCCTGTCTCAAAATAACCTGACAATTAATTGCTTCTGTGCTGGCACCATGGCCATTGCATCTGCATGTTCTTCCAGCATCATGGTTGTGATGGCTAAGCGTGGTTGGGTGTCTTCTCTTTCCTTTTGTCCCATTGTTTCTGCTTTTTGACACCAGTTGTGCTAAAAACTCTTACGTGTTGATTTAGCACTTAATAAACTAAAGTGCTTGCATGCAGTACTGGGTAACTGTAACCACTTGAAACCCTTGGCTCTACTCATGTAGTGCAGTGACTTCAGAGCAGCCCTTAACCAGAAGGCTGGTGCTCAAGCAGACATCACATCTCATCTCGAGTGAGAGAGGCAGTACTCTTCTGGGGGCTATAAAATAGATAAGCAACAATCATAAAGTGTCACTCAGGTCTTAGAAGATATAGTAACCACAACTTGTGGCTTTAGCATAACTGCAAATTTGTCACGGTCCATTACAAGATTAGAATGTAAGTTTTATATGTGGTTTTATTCCTGGCTACCTGGAAGAAATTTACATGTGATACATCCTTTAAAAGCTGCCAGAAATAACTCCTCTTTCTGATACAAGGAATTAACATTCTTGCTTGTTACCTCATGTTACTTTAAATACTCTAAAAATTCAAATGAAACTAAAATTAAACTACTGATACAGCTATGGGAGATTATTTTCACTTTTAAAATCTCAGCTGTTCTGTTTCTCTGTGGAGTATTGTCTCTTCTTAAGGTGCCTGACTTCTATTCATACTGGTGAGAGTTATGTGACTGTGGCAGCAGTATAGTATCTGAGATTATATGACATCATTCTGAGTTATGCTTTCTGAATACATGACAATTTTAACCCCTATTGGATTTTCTTAGCTTCTCTTCAGGTTTAATTGCCCCATCACATTCTAGTATAATTCCAGTACACAGATCTGAGTTATAGTTTGTGGAGATAATTTGAAAAACAGTGGTGGGTAGGAAGTAGCACATTGTGTTTTTATTGGCCATACTCTGTGGCTGGAGCCAGCAGAAGACCTATACAAAATCCAATTCCCATGGAGATCCTAGCCTGAGAAGTCAAGTAGCACTTGGCTGTTGCAGACTTCATCCTTTGCCCTCACTGAACATTGCCAGAAGCAGATCAAGTAAAATGACTTCAATTCAGCTTTATGAAAGTTCAGCTTTGAGCAGCAATTCCCTAACTTTGTAACTCAGTCTATGTTCTTCCCACCAAGTTTCTTTACAGTTCCCCATGCCCCTTTGTTATTAAATCCATTATCCAAACAAATATAAACCTCAAACTTTTGCAAAATATTGCTGCTCTATGGATCATAGGCCAGGACATTTGCCATGGAGAATAAGGCTGCTCATCAATTAGCATCACAGTTTCTCAGAGGGGGAATACCCATTGTAGAAATCAGCTCAGTTTTAGTTGCTTGATTTCCCTACTTAACCTGAGTTCCCAAGGCTCCATTTGTAATTAATGTACAGGAGTAACTATGTCTGAAGGGCAATTTTTCTCACCTATCTTTGACATCTTATCTTAGGATGAGGTGAATCATCCTTTCGTATTTCTCATTTTTCTCCATTAGCTGTAAAGTCAGACTGGTGCAGCTGTAGACAATTTTTAAATGCCTGAATTACATGAGATGAATCATTGTCCCAGTGTAGAAAAGACCTTGTCCTAAAGAAACCAGGTATCACAGAGTTTACATGATACCTAGTTTGGTGCTTGACATGCATTTCTGTAGCCCAGCTGATGCGACAAATATTCAAG